TCTCAAATTTAAAGACCCACACGAAGTTGGGTATGATTTGTACGCGGTCGGTTTTGTTCCCAATTATTATAATTGGACTTCTCACGGCGAACCTTTGGATCCATCTGTTATACCACAAACGGTAGGTTCGTCTCGTTACGTCCCTCCAGAGATGAGTGCGTGGGGAGACCGTGCTGAAATGAGGTGGGACCAACAAATGGTATATGACGCATACGGTGTACCGATGTCTCAGTTCAATCCCCCACAACCACCTAACGACCCCCCTGAAGCCTCAACCTCGTATCAACCAGATGCGGATGAAAATCCGACATTTTATCAACCTTATGTGGATGAAGGTTTGACTGAGAGATTTCAGGATGTTCTAAAAGCTGCCGACCAACCTCTGTATGCTGATTGTGAGGGATACTCTCAGCTATCCGCCGTTACTGAATTCATGAACATAAAAGCCGAATACAGTCTCCCTGAAACTTGCATGAATAGAGTCTTGCAGTCAGTAGGAGGGATGCTACCGCGAGATCATACCCTTCCAGATTCATATTACCACATGAAGCAGTTAATGTCTAAGTTGGGGCTACCTTGTGTTGAAATTGATGCGTGTCCGGAAGGATGTATGTTGTTCTGGAAGGAGGATGAGGCACTTGAGTTCTGCAAGTTCTGTGGTGGAGACAGATACAAACCTGTTCGTCAAGGTAAAAAGAAACCACGACATAGGTCTGCACTGTCTAAACTGTATTACCTCCCAATAGCTCCTCGACTGCAGAGGATGTACGCTTCGACTGCTACTGCGAAACACATGACATGGCATGTTGAGCACGAAACCAACGAGGGTATGATGGCTCACCCTTCGGACTATGAAGCCTGGAGACACTTTGACCGCTGTCATCCTCAGTTTGCTATGGAGCCACGAAATGTGCGGCTGGGATTGTGCTCAGATGGATTTGCTCCTTTTGGCAGGTTTGGCAAGAACTATTCATGTTGGCCGGTCATGTTAACTCCTTACAATCTCCCTCCCGACATGTGCATGAAAAGTCATTTCATATTTTTGTCTTTAATTTGTCCGGGTTCCAAGGATCCTGGGCGAAAGATAGACATTTATCTCCAACCCCTTATCGAGGAGATGAAAGAACTGTGGGCCGTTGGGACACCAACTTATGATGTTTCATCAGATAAAATGTTTATCATGAAAGCTGCCATCATTTGGACCATTAGCGACTTCCCTGCCTATGGCATGCTTTCGGGATGGAGCACACACGGTTTGATGGGATGTCCGATATGTATGGAGAAATCAGGTGCCAACTGGCTTAGTTACAGCAAAAAAGGAAGTTACTTTGATTGTCACCGCAAGTTTCTCCCGGAAAGGCACCGATATCGAAAGGACAAGAAGTCTTTCATTAGAGGCAGAGCGGTACGAGAGAGCCCACCCCCGAGATTGACCGGTGAAGAAATTTATAACCGGGTTCGACGTTTTCCTACGGCTATGGAAGAGCCAAACCCCTTGGTCCCAAACTTAGGGGGATAGATTTTGGTCAATATATATGAGTGGTTAGAATTCATTCTTACTTTATTCACACTTTATCAATTTAATATAACCCATACAATTCTACTTTTTTTTAAAAAATCACACCACACCCCTTGGTCCCAAACTTAGGGGGATAGATTTTGGTGAATTCCTATTGAAAATGTGTATCAATCCCATAATCATTTTTTGTAATGCCACAGTGTTACATAAATATGGATGGACATGTGCACCTTACTTTTGACCGATATGATATTTCGAAAGTATGAAAGACACAACTCAAGTAAAAAAGCTAACAATTACATATGGTTTAACATTGTTCTATATGCCCACAAGTATCATGATTTATTTCTCATGATTTTCCATAAATGTACAAACGCACAACGGGATCTGATTCCCAGTATATGACTCTAAAATTATACTCCGTATAGGATATGTGTACAAATACTAGTAAGTATAAAAAAATCTTATAATAATGTTCGTATAAAAGAGATAAATTTTCCGGAGTATATTATAAATAAAGTTCGGCGTCAGTTGGATACTTGGATTCAAACCGAAGCTAGAAGCCTAGAGATCAACCAGCCGGCACATATGATATATTCTCCAAACATACTTTACAGCAAATGTACAAAATAAAAAGTTAGTGCCAATATGATACAACTTCCAAAATATTATTATAAAATATATAGCTCTATATTAACAATGTGTAATTGCGTGCATACACAACATCTTTTGACTTGTGAATTGTTATAAAAAGGCAACAAATCGAGTTAAGTTGCAATGAGCATTTTAACCGTGTGCTTGATTACTTTTTTTATGTTCTGATCGATCTGTATGATAGAGTTGAAATTGCTTAGGAAATGAAGTAAATGCGGTGTATAACTTTTCGTCTCTTACAAATGCATTAAAAGGGTAGAAATAGTAAAAGGGAAAACGTAAAATTATCTTATCTCTACACCAGCCACATTAGTCAAAAAGTGATCAATCCATCTTTTTATCATCAATCTACTTAATTAAAGGAGTGATCCGTGAACATATATAGTTTTTCAAATCACAACTTCACAAAAGGTGACGAGAAATTGAAGTAACTTAGCAATGGGGGGAAGTTGCATATTAATTAGGTGGGTAGTTCACAAGACATCCGCTGCTAACGGCAAAGCAATCTGTGAAACGTAAAAAAGCAATGTATAGTATTTCTTACGCTGGAGGCAAAAGGGGTTGTATGTACAACCTCCCCATCCTCATCATCATATGTATCATATGATCTACCTTAAACATGCCATGGGCTGCTTGACGCCGCATGCCCTTATTGCAAACCAACATCACACACACCCTGCTTTCTATGTCATATTAGCGTTTGAACGTAATGGCTTTGTTTGTTTTTCGGGGGTCGAGTGGAAACGCGATCTCAATACATCACAATTTACAACGCGGGTTGACGTTTTGGATGAACCGCGGATAGCCGAATATATTTAATATGTTTTGATATTGTAGGAAGATTGAGGAATTGTATTCAACCAAATGTCAATAGTTTGAGCGCGTCCTCTAATTTTGATGTTAATCATTTCTATTATAAATGGTGACATGGTGTAATGAATGGTGAATGAATTTTAATTATTCATCACGCCAACATACTTTTTTTGGCCAGCTATTCCATATATTTTCTCCCGAGTGTATATCAACATATCGTGTCCTCTCTCGATCAACTAAAAGTGTACTTACGATATGCATAAAGTCTCAGCAATTCGTGGAGCATATATTGTTGTTTTTTACCAAATGTTTTCACATTGACTTTTGACTCCATTTCTGCAATGGTTTAAGCGCCATGAACTAAAACAAAGGTAAACGAAAGACTTAATATAACTAAACTTATTGACTTATCAAGGGCCCTCTTTGTAAATTTGTATTTGACTTATCAACCAACATGTTAACAAAAAACCGAAACTTTTAATTTTGCATAACAAATGGGAGGAATTTGACTTTGCACTTCACTTTTTGTATAATATTGAACTTTGCACCTCATTTTATTTTTTTGACTTTGCATCTCATTTTACTTAAAAATCCTTTGACTTTGCTCTCTATTCAGAAATATTTCTTTGTTAAATGTTGTGTGTTGGAGTTCTAAATCAAATATTTTCAAAATGAATGCAAAGTTCAATATCACCAAAAAAAGTGGAGTCCAAACTCAAATTCACTTTTACAAATTCTATTTAATCAAATCAATAAGGTTGAAATTATCTTTAGGTATATTGACTGATTATGTTGAAACTGACTTTTTACTTATTTCGTATAATTCATTTTAATTAATAAATAAATTTCAAATAATGAATGAAAAATTCAACTGCCCCTGTCAAGAAATTGAATACGATGTCTCAACTCTCAACTCAATTAGCCTTAACCGTGCGGGTAGGTAGCAGTCGTAGTACTAGCAGTCCGGATGCCTCAATCACGAACCTAAATAATGGTCGTGAGGCCAGATAATTATGCGCTGTAAAAAAGGGACTATATATCATCTAACATACGCTAGCCTTAGCTTGCCGTGCCTAGATTTCGAGTAGTACTATTCAATGATGTTCCCTTTTTATAATACGGAGTAATCTATTAACATTGCCTATGGCTATAGGACTTGTACTCTCGTTACCAAATCTGAACGATGACCATAGACCTTAACCTGTCGAACAGTACACCACTCTAAAAAAGAATGTTTCTCGTCTATTCGTTAGGCTACGTTTGGAACACGCAAAATGTTGAGAATGGAAATAGAGAGAAAAACAAAAGAACTATAGAAGGAAAGACAATGGTTGGGAAAAATGGATATTTGATTCAAAACTCAATACATTTATTTTTTACATTTGTTTGAATAATTGAATTCATAATTTCTTTCTAATACTACATAAGTACATAGTACATACTATTATGTGTCTCATTTTATAAAATACACCTCTTTTTTGGGATTGGGATTCTGTGTCGCACGACAGAGGTGCCTTGCGACAACGAACAAATGGATTAGGAAGGAGGCATCTCAAGATGTGGTCCGCCAAGATCTGTCGCCGTTGTTTTTTATCAGACAGCCCCCCAAAGTCGGGCACCCTACCTTGTTGCATTTAGTTGTTAATAGATAGACTCCGTTTAAGCGAGTTGTAAGCGAGTTGTAAATAGCGGATTCATTTAATAGGTTTTACTAGCAGAATAGATTGACAGATTGCCAAAAGATGTTTAGAAATTTAGCAATTTCGTTCAAAAACACTAGAATTCAAAGACTATTTACCAAACAACGTTTTCACTTATTCCAAACACCCCATTTATCATTTTAACCCCTACACATTTTCTCTAGCAGTCTAGGCTTTTCAGTAATCCAAACGGAGCCTTAAGGTTTCGCTGTTATCCATTTTCGTTATGCTAATAATTATGCTTGAGCCGTTATAATTATGCCAATCATTGTGGACAAACATATTAGCAATTTCACAATAAAATAAAGAAAATGAAATGAAATGAATTCCACCTTTTTTATTTCAGAGATCAGAGCAGCGAATAGAATACAAATGTCCTCTGATGAACACAACATGTGATGATAATAATGGCGCTATATGTTGATCCATAACAAAATAAATTTCCAGGGAAAGAAGAAAAGAAATTCGGAATTTTTTTATAAAAAAACTCTGACAAAAAATTAAATGGAGAAATTACGACGTGGGCGATCCGTGAAATCCAAAAAAAAGAAGCCAAAATTAGAGTGGACATGAATTTACCGGCGAGACAAAGGATGAACAATGAACAGTTCAGGTTGAATGTCCATAAAGATCGTAAGGTGCCCATAAAGAGTCCAGCGGGCATGGCTTCCTCGAATCCAGTCTCAGCCACGGCTTGCCACTGCCGCTCCAGTGGAGGAGACTCACCGGACCTGGGTGGAGGTTCCGGCAGCTTCCCCTCACGTTGTCGCCGCCCAAACCGTGCTGGTTCCACCTGTGATCAATTGCGGCCACATCTCCGGCGAACACTAACAGGAACGGTGGTAGAGACCCTAATTCATAGATCCTGGTCGTCTTCTGGATCTCCATCCACCTCTCTATATGCTTCGTGTACCCTATCCGCCTCCATTTCGCCAGATCTATGACCATAACGCCGGTGTTGAAGTAGCAAGGGTCCCGTCCGGCGAATGTACCGTACAATTTCCGGTCAGACCAGAAATTGGAGGTGAAGTACTTGGTGAAATTAGCGTGGCAGTACTCTGGAGCTCCAATAGTCTTCTCCCCCAAATTCGTACTCCATAGCTTTGAGATATCGTCAACGACAACCAAATCAGAATCCAAGTAGATGACTCTGCGCACACACGGCTCCAGCATGTCGGCCAAGTAATTCCGGGCATAGTTGAGAGGAACCTCCAGCGCTTGCCGGACGGAAGTGGAGATGAGACTCCGGACTCTCTCCGGGTCGAAGTAATACACCTTGAACTTCAACTGAGGAAAAGTGGATCTCACGAGGCTCTCCAGATTAGTCTCCGAGACCATGAAGTGGAAGAACACACTCTCCGGACACCTTGAATGCTGTAGAATCGAATGCACCGCCGCGATTGAACCTCTGAGATACTCCGTGTCCAGAGTAATGGCGACGTGAACTAGAGACGGATCGCAAACATAGGTTTCCCCCAACACGGATTTGCATCCACCGGCATTACGAAACAATGGCGATTTCCGGAAAGAGAATCGGTCAAGTGCACCGCCGCCGGCAATCTGTCCTTGAAATCGGAGATAGGAATCGAGAGTAGAGGACCTAATGGCTTCGGCCGGAGGAAAGGATTGCAGCGACGGGGATAGAACAATCATCACCATTGCAGCAGAGACGAACCAGGAGAATTTCATCACCCAAAGCATCTTCCTCGCTGCGAAGACCCCTCTCCTCCTCGTCTTCCTTTTCGATTTGAAATTCAAAGCGCCCAACAACCAAGTAGAATTGAAGGAAGAAAAGACGACCGCTAGGGTTCGTCTGTCGTCCGCCACAGTTTGACAGAGGGGTGGGGCTGAGCGCTGCGATGTACGAAAATGATACGGAATTCGAAGAAATCAGAAAGGGAAATTATTTTAAGCAAGATGTACATGTACAGCAGAATATGCTTAATTCCTTTCAAATCGCCCCCTTAATTCACCAAACTCATGACGGAAATGAAGCGGCGGCGCACTGCCGGAGCCACCGGAACGGAATCCCCTCTCACCTCTCTCTCCCCTCTCCTCTCTTATCTGGATGAAGCAAAGCGGCAGAGTCTCTGTGTGAGAGGGAAAGACCTGTATTTTAAGAGGGAGAGGATAATTACAGAAGTTTTAGAGGAGGCTTTAGCCTTCGTATTTGTATTTAATACTTTCCAAAGTTCACAACTTTAATTTCCAAGCTTAAGGGAGTGTTTGCAATTGCTTCAACTTTAAAAAAGTGATTTTTTAAAGTGATTTTGGGAAAAGTGATTAATAGTAAAAGTTGGTAGTGTTTGAGAAAAAAGTGATTCTGGAAAAGTAAAAGTTGGTAGTGTTTGGTAAAATAAGTACTTTTTGTGTAATAGAAAAGGTGAGAAGCAGTTTAAAGCACCCTTCTACCTGCTTCCAGCTTTTAGCTTTTAACTGATTAATTTAAGCAGAAGCTGTCATTTGAAAACACTCTTTTCAACTTTTTTTAAGCCAAAAGCTGAAAAGTGCTTTTTTTAAGCAAACACAAACACTCCTTAAATCCCCCATTAATAGCATGTGGTAGCGGTACACAGATAAAAGGAAAAATAATTAAAATATTCTTACATATTTTACTTCTATTTAAGTAAAATATGTGATCTAAATATTTTAAATGTGTATGAGATAAACACCTCAAACTTTTATATGTGATCTAAATATTTCAAACTTTTTATAAAAAGTTATTTTAACATCATAATCATGTATTATTTATTTAAAAAATGTAAGCTTAGAATGTTAATTGTATGGAGTGGAAGGGTAGAACTATTTATTTCATAATGTAAGTTTAGAATGTTAATTGTATCTATATGAATGGTAAAATATTTGAAATTATGAAATAAACACCAAAAAGTAGCATTTTTGAAATAAATAATACATAACCATGATGCTAAAATAACTTTTTATATAAAATTTGGGATATTTTAATTACATACGCAAGTTTGAGGTACTTATCTCGCACCCCTTAAAAGTTTGAAGTATTTTAATTATTATTCCCCAGATAAAATTGCTACATTGAATTAATTTTATTTTATTTTAAGCAACACTATAATTTTTATTCTATTTATGACACTATACGATGCTCTACCATGTATCGGCTTTGCTAAAGGATCACTTCGAAAAGTCAAATGCAAAGGTATGCAGATGTAAAATATTTTTTGCCTAGCCTATATGGTAGTCTTGTGTTTATTTTTTGGTAATACATAACTTTGAGCGATGAATTGTGTAATAAAAAAAAGGAAAAATGGAAACAAATAGTCCCACCTTTATGCGGTCTGCTTTGAACGGTCCCTCTATTTGATAATCCATAAAAAAACCAACCTTTATATAATATCTTCATTCATCGGTCCGGATGACTTGTTACCGGCTACAATCGTCTATTTTTCAAACAACAGTCATTTAACCTCAAAGAAATTTATCCTAAATGGTTTTTACCTTCAATAAAAAATTACATTTTAATTAAAATTACTTACGACTACTGAGCAGGCTAGAAGATGGGTGAGCGGCGATGAAGACGAACTTCAGAAGGAGGAAGAGAAACCTGGCAACGGTGAGAGAGGACGACGTGTTTCACCATTGAATTGATTACAGGTAATAATTTAGAACTCTGCTTCTACAAATCATTCCATAAATCTTTCAGTCCATTATAGTAAGAATTGTATATAGCCGAATGTGTTTGATAAGTTGTCAAAACTAAATTCTTCCTTTACCATTTGAGTTGATGAAGTGCATGGTGGGTTTCAGTTTGAAATATATTGTTCATATTATGCCAAACTTATGTTTGATTGTGTGTTTAATAAAACTCCATATGGTGCTCAGTATGTGTTTGATGAAATTCCTTATTGAATTTTTAGAGAAATTATATTCCTTTTGGGATGATTCTTACTATATGTGCTTACTAAATGTTACATATGTCTTTATTCATGTGCAGGTTGTATTGGCTGAAATGGACCATGTCACTTTGAGATTCTGGCATGGTGGTTTGTTTAGGAAGAAAAACGATGCCTTAGTTTATCTGAATGGACAGAATAAGAGTTTTGAGGTAGACCCTGATGAACTATGTTGGTTTTGGCTTGAAGAATTGGCAAAGAAGTGTGGTAATTACAATGTTATTGAAGAAATCTTTTATTTGCTGCCTGTTTTGAGCTTGGATGATGGATTAAAAAAAGTATACAATGATCATGAGGTTCTGCAAATGACAGAAATCTTGATGAAGGTTAGGTGTCTTGATTTGTTTGTGCTTCATGGCCTTGATCAACCAGAAGTATTGCTGATGTTACCGTCAAATACAAACACAAAAAATCAAACAGAACCCTCAACTGATAATCAAGGAGATGACTTATTTTCTGGGGTTGTACATCATGAGGCTGTAACAACATCAGGGGAAGATGACATTGATTATGAAGCTGAGCTCGAACATGTAGCTGAAGCAGAAGATGAGGATGAAGCAGAAGACCAAGGAGATGACTTCTTTTTTGATGGGGATGATAAATATTTTAGTGATGACGAAGCAGAAGTCAGTGATGATGAATGCAAACTTGCAAGGGATAGAGTGAAAGAATGTAACAACAAGCTTCTTGAAATTGCTAAACAACTTCAAAGAGAAGCAGCAGAAGGCAGTCTTCAAGGACAAAGAAGCAAAACTCATTCTTCTGGAGAACAAACATGTGATGCAAATGATGGAGTTTTCAGTGAGTATGAGGATAGTGAAGAAGATATCCACACTCCACCAGATAGTGTAGAAGAAGAGTTTGATGAAATAGGGAAGAAGAGAAAGAGTCGTCATCTGGTCAGTGCAAATATTGACTTCGCGACATTTCAATGGACGGTGGGGCAAAGATTTGCTACTAGGGATGAGTTTAAGAATGTTGTAGCTAAATATGCTATCTTACATGGTAGAAATTTGAGTTTTTATGTGAGTAACAAAAAGAGACAACAAAGATTAGGCGTAAGATGTGCAGATGGGTGTCCATTGCGGTTGTATTCGTCTTAGGATTCAGGGAGAGCCACATTTGTGCTAAAGACAATAACAGGGAAGCACAAGTGTCACCGAAATATGAAAAGGAACAAACAACTGAAGTGTCCATGGGTTGCAAGGCAATTTCTTGACGTTTTCAAGGCACGACCCCACTGGCCAACTAAAGACATAATTGAGACAGTTAAGAGAGCATACAAAGTAGTAATCAAAAAGGACTTTGCATATAAAGTCGAGTACTACTCTCACAAAATGCTCCATGGATCAATGCACGACCATTATAAAAAACTTGGGCGATACTTACAGGCTTTAAAGAACTCTAGTCCTGGGAGTGAAACAAACTTGGTGACTGATTTCAACAACCAGCTTTCTTCCTCAGTATTTCAGAGGTTATTCACATGTTTTGAGGGGCTGCATAAAGGATGGAAGGAAGGGTGTAGAAAAGTTATATGTGTGGATGCATGTTTTCTAAAAACATTTCTTGGTGGACAAATGTTGTGTGCAGTAGGAAGAGATGGTAATGACCAAATGTATCCAATTGCCTGGGCAGTTGTAGAAGGAGAAAACAATCACTCTTGGGAGTGGTTTTTCTTACTGCTCCAAAATTGTCTTGATTTGGGAGAAGGCGCGAACATTGCAATAATTTCATATGAGCATCAGGTAATCCATCTGCATTTAAATATAATATTGTTTGATTGATTGAATAAGAATTTAATGAACTGTTTTGCATTTTTACAGGCTATTTTACGTGCGGTTGCCAAAGTACTTCCTCTAGCCGAACATAGGCATTGTGCAAGGCATATTTTTGCGTTGTGGCATAAAACTTTTAGAGGAGATGAGCTCAAATTAAAGTTTTGTAAGATTGCTAAAGCATATAACCTAGCAAACTACAATGATGCATTTGATGAATTGGTAAAGATAAATCCTGAAGCTGCTAATGCATTTAAAACCTACAACCCAAGGTGTTTCTGTAGAGCTTTTATGAACACTACCCTTAGATGTGATGCCATTACAAACAATATGGCTGAAACATTTAACGGGTGTATCAGAAATGCAAGGACAAAGCACCTTATATACATGCTAGAGGATATTAGAGCTGCATTGATGCAAAGGTTAGCCCTAAAAAGGCAAGAAATGTAGAATGCACATTCAGTTATATGCCCTAGAAAACAAGCTAAACTAGAACTTGAGAAGGCTAAGGCTTGTAATTGTGATGTTCTCCCATCAACTTTTCACACTTTTCAAGTCAATATGTACTTAGATAGTCTTACTGTGGATCTTCAAGCAAGAACGTTGATGGATAGTCTACCCGGGGGGTGTCTTATCCGAGGGGTTATTGCGGAAATAACTAGAGAGAAGTCAGAGCAAATAGGAGGAGAGAGAGTCGATTTTATTAAATGAACTCGAGACATCAGATCTTGGATCTGGGATCGTTTACAAGGAGAAACGGGCTGCTATTTATAGCAGCAATAAATGCGATGAGGGTACACGTGTCAGCAATCCAACGGCCGAGGGGTCACATCAGCCGGGTGGCACCAGCAGTGGTACGTTCACCGCATCGAATGCGGTTGGCGGATGTGACGCGACATTAAATGCGGTGGTTGGCTGTCTTCAAAAGGAATCTTCGATGATTGAGCAACTGGCCGAAGGCTTCTCCTTCGGCCGAGGGCTCTATGTAGCCGAAGGCATGTGGGTGCCGGAGGCTCCCCTGTTAGCCGAAGGCGTCCTGTGAGCCGAAGGCTTCTGGTAGCCGAGGGCCACCATTTTACGCCTTTTTTCTTCCAGTGGCCTCTCATGTTCAACATTGGATGCTTTGAGTGATTTGGAGCCTTCGGCCAAGGAGGCCGAAGGCGCCCCAGTGTGTGTTATGGGCTCCTTCGAAGCTTGGGCCGTTGTATTTGGGCCTGGGATGCTCCCTGGTCTCAAATGGGCTTGTGTAGGAGAAGTAGGAGTCTATGGGCCGGGGTTCCTGGGCCATATACTCCATCAGGAGTCCCCCACTCCTTTTGCCGAAAGGTATTTTGAGGGAAAAGGAGTAATTGCGTTGATGCGTTGACCTTTGCTGAAGGCTTCACGTTCTGCCGGAGAGTTTTCCTGACGTTTGCCGAGGGCTTTCCCTCAGTCCCT